CTGGTTGGGTGGTCTGTAGTAGACACCCACCGCTAAGTCCCTTTCCCCCCCGATCCCCTTGTACTCTAACCCAGAGCACTTCAGTCTGCCCCTCCTCTGACGCAGTGCTGTTTGTTGAGGAAGTGTATTGCTCCTTGACATAGAGTGCCACACCCCTACATTTCCTCCCTGTTCTATCCCGCCTGTATAGTCTATAGCCCTTGATGTTTACCTCCCAATCATGTGTTGAATCCCACCAAGTTTCAATGAGCCCTACTATGTTCAGGTTTGTGTTAGCTAGCAGGAGGGCAAGTTCCTCCTGCTTGTTCCCCATACTATGAGCGTTAGTGTAGAAGCATCTAAGGCCTCCTGAGAGTGTATGCAGCACCCCCCTAAACCCAGGACTATCCAAACCCCTGTCTCTTACCTGGTTACTTCTTGTGCTCATCACCTGTCTTGGCTGGGAAGTGTCGTTGTGTCCCCCTGTGGCCCCATCCCCCAGTGAAGCTAGTTTAAAGCACGCCATATGAGATCAGCCAACCTGGAAGAAAAGACACGCTTGCCTTTAGGGGAGAGGTGAAGCCCATCCCACCTGAGCATGCCCCCTGTGCGAAAATGTGGGTTGTAGTCAAGGAACCCGAGGCCTGCCTGGTAGCACCAACTCTGAAGCCACTGGTTGACCACTCCAATGCAGGCCTCATGGCGCTGTTCATGTCTACTTACCAGGAGAATACCATCTGCACCCCTGTCTCCTTGAGCTTGGCTCCCAGGGCCTCGTAGTCCTTCATGATGCAGTCTGGACTGCTCCCCGATGCGTCATTTGTTCCCACGTGGATTAGGACCACGGGGTAGTGGTCCAAGGGCTGAATGAGGTCTGGGAGCATTCCTGTAACATCCTGAATCTGAGCCCCAGGCAGGCAGCAGACCTCAGGTGCCATGGGGTCAGGGTAGGCAGATGGGACCCTCTGCTCCCCTCAGGATGGAGTCTCCAATGACAAGGACTCAGCATTTCTTTCTCATGCTGTTCTGTCTATGTTCAGACTGTGTCATATATAGAGTGGCACTGTCCCCCCCCCCCCCCCCCGGAGGCATCTTCCTTGACCTTCTCCTCTAAGGCTGCCAAGGCCTCGAATCTATTCCCCAGTTGTACCTGGGGAGCAGCCACCATACTAGCCCAAGCAGCCCTGGTTCTGGTGGTCACCTTCTTCCATTCCTCAGCTGTGCATCTCTCCCGGGAGGTCTGTCCTTTGGAAGACTGATTCTGCAGAGAATGGAAATATGTGTCAATTTCATCCTCTGCAGCCCTGATCCCTCGTAGCCTGCTCACTTTGGCCTCGAGCTCCCTTACCTGCTCCTCCAGGACCCGAAATCAGGCACAAGAGGGACAGGCAAGGGAGCCTCCAGATCTCTCTCCCACCCACAGCCTCTGGGTCCACACCAGGCAGCCCCCACAGAGAGGCCACCGGCATCACCATGGGCTTTGTCTGGGTGGAGGCCTCAGAGGAGTCCAGGGTAGGTGGTACCACCGGGGCGGGGTCTCTAGCAGCCGCCCTCCACGGCCTTACCTCCAGGTCGCGGTCCTAGGCAGCCACTCCCCATGTTCTTACCATGTCCATGAAGCTATGAGTCTTCTTCTCTCTCTTGCTGCACAGACTCCTTCCTGGCTCCTACTGCAAGCCTGCCTTGCATGAACACCAGCACACCCTTTCAGAGTGTGCCTGTCTGTGCACTCTGTTCACGTGCACTCCCTGCCGGCTCATGTAAGAGGGATCTGTAGGGCTCCCCCTCTGAATCCTCTGCAGCTGTGCCGGCTCCCTTCACCCTCCTCACCTACCTTGTGGCATCAGCTGCCGCCTTTGCCACCGTCGCTCCCGCCACCTCCACTGCTGGTGAGTGTGGGTAGGTGGGCACACATGTGCTAGCTGCCCATGTGAGCCCCCTCAGCTCCCAAGCCCCGTTCTCCTGATGCATATACAGAATAATTTTCATTATTTTAATGTGGTTATTTAGGCTAAATACAGACAGTCAAAAAAGCCTGTGGCTGAATCAAATCAATTTTCACAGGTTATTTAATAGATTTCATAGACATTAGGGACTGGAAGGGACCTTGTGAGATCATCGAGTCCAGCCCCCTTGCCAGAGGCAGGAAGTCTTCAGGGATTAGATGATCCCAGCAAGATAAACATCCAAATGCCTTTTGAATGAGTCCAGTGTAGGTGCTTAAACCACCTCTGGGGGGAGTATGTTCCAGACCTTGTACACTCAGACTGTAAAGAAGTTCTTCCTTATATCGAGTCTGAATCGGCCTTCTAGAAGTTTGTGGCCATTGGACCTAGTTTTTGCTTGGGGAGCCCTGGTAAACAACTGTTCTCCCAGATCCTGATGTACCCCCCTTATATACTTATAGGCAGCCACCAAGTCCCCCCTGAGCCTTCTCTTTGCCAGGCTGAAGAGTCCCATGTTCCATAAGTATGATGCTGGGTTTTTTTCTCCCAAGGTGGAGTACCCTGCATTTCTCTATGTTGAATGCCATCAGGTTTAGGTCTGCCCACTTTGCAAGTGTGTCCAGGTCAGCCTGTATCCCCAGCCTGTCCTCTAGCATGACCTCCTTCCCCCATTGTTTAATGTTGTCCATGAACTTTGCCAGTCCACATCTGATGGAATGGAGGGTGGATGGAAAACTGATGCAAAGTAATCATTTAGGAGATTGGCCTTTTCAGACATCAGCTGCCCCATTTGATCTTGCAGGGGGCGTATGTTGCTTTTGTTCTTCCTCCAACTTCCAACATATCTGAAGAATGACTTTTTGTTACCCTTGATTCCAGTGGCTAGCCTGAGATCAATTGCTGCCTTGGTTTTTTTGCCCTACACGTATGAGCAAGTGCTGAGTAGTCCTCCTTGGTGATGATTCCAGTTTTCTATCTGGTGTAGGCTTCTCTTTTGTTTCAGGACATCCAGAAGTTTCCTGTTGAGCCAAGGGGGCTTCCCTGCCCTCTGACTGCATTTCCTGTGAGATGGGATGGACTTCCCTTGTGCTTTGAGGATTGAGTTCTTTAGGAACAACCATTCATGGACTCCACTTCCTAGGGGGCCATGGTCCCTTAGTGCCTGATTGACCAGTCGCCTGAGTTTGTGTAAATCAGCCTTCCCAAAATTGAGGATTTCTGGTTTACTGAGGTATTTGCCGACCCTGTGTTGGACAGAGAAAGCAATCGGATCATGGTCGCTGTCACCAAGCTTGCCCTTGATCCTCAGATCACTCCCCAGATCATCCCATTTGGCCAGAACCAGATCCAGCAGTGCCTCTCCCCTAGTTGGTCTGTAGACCTCTTGCTTCAGTTACAGGTCATCAGTGAAGGCGAGGAAGTTCTGTGACCAGTCAGACCTGGCCATGTGCTCATCCCACAAGATGTCAGGGAGGTTGAAGTCTCCCATGACTATCATACATTGGGAATGTGCAACCTCGGCCAGTTCAAGATCCAGTTCTTCTTGGTTTGGAGGTCTGTAATAGACTCCTATGAGTCTATCCCCTTCTCTATGTTCCCCCCATATTTTAACCCAAAGGGTCTCAAGATGCCCTCCATGGTTAATGAATTCAGTTTGAAGGGAAGTGCTCCTTGACATAGAGAACTACATCCCCACCCCTTAGTCTAAGCTATGTCTATGGAACCAATAAGCAAGTGAACAGACATTCACTTTGGATTCCGGAAATGCAGCCACATGCCTGCAGTGGCCCAGGACAAAAGCTGGGAGGTGCTAAAATACACTTTCTTGCTCAGCTAGAGCAGACAGCTTGAGTAAAGGCTAGCCTGCCCACACTGCAAGGGGAGGCTTGCAGGGGAGATGCAAAGCATCCTGGGATGCTAGGGGACTGTGAGTTAACTTGAAACTGGAGGGGTCTGGGACAGAAGTTTAATAAACCAATTTAACCTAGATCAGTTAAGTCTGATATTACATTCATCCAGGGTTATCTTAAACTGGTTTCAGCCATTTTGAAAGTGGTTTATGTACACTGAACTTCTGTTGTGTTACACATTTGAATCGGTTTCTAATCACTTATACCAGTTTATGTGTAATTTCTATCCCTAGCCTTTAGAATTAATATTGTAAAAGTTACTAGAGTTGATCCATCGCATCCCAGGGAAGTTGATGGTAAATATATTTGTGTGCATATACATGCAGATACTTAGTCTGGTATTTGTAATTAAAGTTAACATCTGTCCGTCTGTGGAGCCATAGTCATGGTGCTTCTTCCTGAGGACATACCAGTGTCCAGGGGCTCAGAACCAACTTTACTGCATCCAGATGGAATCTACGGGTGCAAAGAGGACACTGGGACCAAAGAAATGTGTTGACACAAAAGCAGAAGTACTGCATGTGAAAGAACATTTGGATCAATGCAAACACACCCAGCCACTTGGGCTGTACAGGGTGGCCTCTCCAGGTGAATGGTTGGTTGATTCCAGGGGAAAAAATGCAAACAACAACAAAAAACATCCCTGGACTATTTTTTTTTCCTGAGATTTGCAGCACTGCTCATACAGAGGGAGGGAGTCCAATAAATAAGCCCACAGACATTCCCAATATGGCTTCCACCTTCTTTTGACCTCCCATATACGCACCTCTGCTGGTGCTGCTGAGACAGCAGAAGTTCCTCAGAGGCTTAAATAGTTCCTATCTCCTTCCCTTGAAGGAAGTTGTCTTCCTCACTGTATAAAAACGACCTTGTTTTGAAGCTGGGCATTGCTCCTACCTTCTGTGTTGATGTGTGGGATAGGAGGCAGACTATTCTGCCCCTTGTCTCTTGTGATGTTGCCTGGATTTTTGGGACTGTCTCCTTCTCAGTTTAGAGGGGATTATGATAAAGGGTTGACTCCTATTCTTCTTTTCTTCTGATACCTCTTCTTTCTCACTGGTTGAGCTTCATGTTGAAGTTTTTCCCAGACAGAGGAATTTGGGTAATCTTGATCTTCTTTTTGAAGGCAGATGGAAAGAAGAAGTTGCCTTTAGGAGACATTACAAGGATCATTGAACCTTGAAGAGGTAAGCATGAACTAACTATGAGCCAGACCCACAGAACTGAGATCCACTTAAAATTATATTTTAAGAAGAATAAACATGACAGTTCTTTTTATTTGCCTTCTGGTTATGAACTTTTAATGTTCTGACACTCTAGCTTTCATGGTTGCAAAGAAAACCTTGAAACTTATTTTTAACTAAGGTGAGATTCTAGCAGTGACTTGATTTCATAAGCTAAGACCTTAAGGAAATGGGAAACCTCACAAGAATTATGCTCCAGTTGTGAGAATTATCAACATTGATGCTTCTAGCAGTATAGCTGTCAAAATGCACCATTGGTTTGAATGTAGTCCTACACCTTGTCCAGGAGCAGGAACATGTATGAGTGGCCACTGAGACTGAACATGGCATAGTGTTTTCACATCCAGGGACATATTAACCCTGTAGGGTAGGAGAACTATGGAACCTCTGTGGGCCAGCAACCATTAAACCAGCATAGAGTACATGGAACTCAAGGGGTAGGAAGTGAGAGATACTATGCAGAATAGGTTCAGAAAGAATAAATGGTTTGCCAGCAGATACTAGGGATATCAAAGGAATATCCAGGAAGTCTAGTAAAATGTGAAATCCTGAAGTTCTGCCACTAAGTTCAACAGGCCAGAGGACATAAAATCCAGTGCTATGTTTTAATTATAAGTTCATCCTTCCCTCAATTTCTTAATAATTTCTACACAGTTTTCAGCTCTAAGAAGTGTTTACTGCAACATGTGTTTCTTGTCGTATTCAAGAATCACTTTTCCATTCAAGAGCAGACAAATTAGGTCACTCACATAACACATCATTCTTGGATGGAGTTTTCTGGTTTAATGGATCATTGCCCTTGGGTCTAAATTATAGCTGAGGAGCAAGAAGAAATGCTCAAGTGGTTGGCTCATGGGAAAAAGTATATTGGGAACCCAATGAACTCAGATATTAAAAGTCTCAAAAGATGACTTCCATGGACTTCAGCTTCATCACTGTACTGAATAAAACAGTCTTGAGTGCTACTTATACAGGGAAAAACGGTATTTTCCATATTAAGTGTAAGAAGCTTGTCATTAATACACTATGTTCAGCAGAAACATCTTTGTTTCTAAATTTCTATTATACCAGTATAAATATAACACATCCTTTTCCTGATCTTCCAAGTATCTTCTTCCTGATCACAGCTTAAGAGCTAAACAAAAATGAATCTATAGTACTGGAAAACTGACAATGCCTATCATGCTTATGGCTTCTATGTACATGAATAATAACTGGAATAAGAAATGCAGCACTAAGCAGAGTGCAAAGTTTTTGAGGAAATTCTAGGAGAGAGCTGACCACTACAGAAGTAACAAGACTACAGCCCATGGGGATCCCTTCAGGTCTAGAAATTTGATGTTGACAGCAGTGGCAGCTTTACTTGCTGCAGCTCCCAGAGGACCCATGCACTGGCCCTGTGCCACTCATCCAGCTCATGGAACCAAATAAGTTGGACAACACTGATCTACAGGGTACCTACAATGATGTTTATTTCTGCAAATCTCCAGGAAGGGGGCTCCAAATCAACCAAAAGTTTCATAGGATGGAATAAGAATGCCACGGTCAACATCCAAAGAAATCAACATTTGCCAGAAAGCCATTACTTAATTATCATTCCAGCTCTAACTGCAAGTGACTTCCTGCTCTAACTGCGACTGAAAATTTCAGTACTTTAGAAATCACTGGGCACATCTACATGAGATGCTTTACTGTGGAGTAGAGCTAATTACGGTGCAGTAGGTATCCACGTCTGTACATGCAGACACTTACTGAGCGGTAACTGGCTCTAATCATAAGTAAATTTGCTACCTGCAAATACAAGTAGCAAATTTTCTTGTGATTAATAACTGTAGTGCACGTGTACACACCTGACCAGAAGCAAATATGTTCCCAGGAAGCAGGGGGTGGGAGATTGCTCTCTGCCCCAAAGAGCTGCCTGCTGTGGGGGTGGGCTCTGCCACCAGAGCCCAGGTGGGGACAATGTCCCCCTTCCCCAGCAGCAGGGAGCTCCCAGCCCCCACTCCACTCCACTGTCACAGTGCCAGGAGATCCTTCTCTTCCAGCCTGAGACCTGCAGCTGTGAGGCCAGTCTGGGAGATCTTTATCTCTGTTGTGGAAACACATGCAGCATACTTTTGGGTCAGGTCAGCAGAAGCTTTTATTCAAATGAAACTACAGCTGTAGGGGGGACCCCAAAGTGACATGGATTTCCCAAGCACTTGGAAGGGGTTCCCCCCCAAGAGCAAAATCAGGAGGCTTATATACTTTTTAACAGTCGCTTACAACTCACGTGATCATATAGTGGAGCCTGCCAGAAAAAGCAGCCACAAACACCAGCTCACACTGCCTTGCTGTTGTCAGGATAGGAACCATGGGGGAGATGAGGTTAGTTCACAAAGCGAGAAATAACACTCCCTTCTTGCACCTGGAAATCAGAGTTGTACATACTTTTTTTTCTGCAGAGGAGTTACAAAGAACAAACACTTTCCCTTATCTGCTCTACTATGCAGAGCCAGCAATTCCCCACAAAGTGGTTATGTCATCTTATAACTCGTACGATCAAAGTTTAAGGCATTTATTTTTTTTCTGATTCCACATCTCCTAGCCAAGCCCTGCAGTCACAGGATCCAGACTGGCAGAGCCTTCTCTCCCAGCACCAGTTCTACAGTTGCAGGACCTGAGCTGGGAGATCTTTATCTCCCAGCTCCAGCTCCATGGTCACAGGGCTGGCACTAGGAGATCCTTCTCTTCTCTCCCAATGCCAGCTCCACAGTTGTGGAGCTGACACTGGGAGAGAAGTATGTCTCAGTGCCGGCCCCGTGACTGTGGAGTTGGCACTGGGAGAAAAGGATGGCCCAGTGCCAGCCTTGTGACTGGGGAGCTGGTGCTGAGAGAGAAGGATCCCCCCGCCTGGGTCCTGCGACTGCAGGGCTCAGGCTGGGAGAGAAAGATCACCTGGCCTCCTGACAGAAAAGCAGGGTCTGGAAGCTCCCTGCTGCTGGGGCAGGGGGACATTGTACCCACTTAGGCTCCTGTGGCAGAGCCCACCCCAGCAGCAGGAAACTCCCAGTGGCAGGGAGCAACATCCCAGTCCCTGGCAGGAGACAGCTGTTTCCTGGCCCAGGGGCTAGCACACAGGGAGAACCTAGAGCTCCTCCTGGCTACTGTAGGGGCCAGTAGAAGGGCTCTAGGGAGTGGGAGTAGTCTGCTTCTAGAAGTAGCAAATCTGTTCCTTTATCCCTGCATGTGTAGACATGTACCCAGGAGTATTTACTTTAGAGTAGTTTACTTGAGAGTAATGTGCTGCTGGATCTTTTGCACATGTAGACATGCCCACTGCAGGGTAACTGTGTGTAAAGACACTGAAAGACAAGTATCTCACAAAGGATAGACATTCTGGCCAACACTTGCTTGACTATACCATAGCCATGATAACAGCCACTTTACTAGTGTATAATAAATCTCTTACAGTAGGGGTTGATTCCTTTTGAACACACTCAACTTCTAAGACAGAGGCCCAGTTTTGAACTCAAGAATCCCATCATCACTTTAAACAGGTCTTCATTTGCACTTGCTGTCCTCCTGGCAAAATTTAAGAAAGCAAAGTGATTCCTCAATTTTTTTCCAGGTCAGCAGGCATGGTTCTTGTATTCTGTACAGGAATGGTTCTTGTATTCTGTAGGTCCCTGGACAGCACACTTCTGTATTTGGCTGTAGTTGACTTTAAAACCTTGTGACTTAGCACTGACAGTTGACTTTGGTTTTGTAGATAGATAAAGAAGTTACAAATGAGATTTGGGTTCTGTTAAAACTTAACTAAATTAAACAAAAAATTCTGATTAGGAGGATCAATTATATTCCTTGCTTTAAGGGGGCACACACAAACTATTCTCATAAATGTCTGGCTTACAGATATCTATGAAAGAAGATTCCATTTGTTTTGCAGACAGCCGTCTCCTTTCATAGATTATTAAGCAGATTTGGGATTTAGTGGTTTCCTCGGCTCTGTGAGACACACCAGGGTAAGTCTGCATATTTTAAAAATGTGATCATTCATGTTTATTGTGTGAACAAGTTAAAAGTATGGTGGATAGTTATGGATGGGATTTTCAAAGGCACCTAAAGGCATTAGGCAACTAAATACCATCCCTTAGGCTCATTTAAAAATCTCATCCAAGACAATCTATTGCAACTATTGATCCTTTATATATAACTGGACCAAACCTTAACATTTAGTAAAGAATCTGGTGTCTGCATGGCATTCTCTACCCTAAGAGCTAAATCTGCAGGGTAAGTCAGTGATTCAGTCAAACAGAAGGCAGGGTAGATTTGCACCTTATAGACTAACCAAAGTATATAGCACCACTTCAAAGCAGTCATGGGGGACAAACTGGTCCTGGCTTACAGACAACACCCCAACCTCAAATGGCATCTCTCAAGCAAGAGGCTTCTTAGCTCCCAGTCTCAACAAGGCACCAGGCCTTAGAAGAAACCTGGGCCCATTGCGTGTCCCAACATCAGTACAGACCATGTCATCATTATAACATCCAAGGTTTGTTTATTTGCACCTCTACCAATGTCATATATGCAATTACCTAATTAGTGTGCCCCTCTGCTGTCTATATTGGATAGACTGGGCAATCCCTACTTGTGAGAATAACTGAACACCACTTTGATATCAGTTACAGAGAGACATGCAAACCTCTGGCAGAACACTTTAACTTCCCTTGACACTATATCACTGCCCTGAGGGCGGCTGTTTTTAGACAGCAAACTTTTAAAAAACAATCTGAACAGTAAATTGTGGACTAAGAAGTCACTCACAGACTGGATAGTCAAGTATGGTTTAAACAGGGATTATGGATTCTTATCCTGTTACCTGAGTTAGTTTTGTGACCCATTTGTTCCTATGAGTTTACTGGTGGTTTCTCATCTCTGCCAGCACTGTCTATCTGTCTGTCTGTCTGTGTCTCTCGTTCTCTTGTATTCTGATTTCTGTCTCCTCCTTATACTCTGCTTTTTGTACGCAGTATCTGATGAAGTAAGCTTCAGCCTATGACATCTTGTGGTATATGTACCTAAATATCTACTTTATTTAGTCTTTAAGATGAAAATCTATCCTGCCTTTTACAGTATATAGCACAACCACCACAGTTACTTTCATTCAGAAAGGCTAGAGGAAGGAGAAGAAAAGGTAATGCCAGTCTTTGAATAATAGTAGTGGTCAGATCACTTACCAAGCAATGCAAAACTTGGGTTTTAGGCATTTCTCAGCCTTGGAGGATTTAAATAATTATTTTCTACTTCCTACAACAGGGCCCTAACCACCAGATTATATAATGGTCTCCCCAGTGGACATTTATCATCTCTCCTATTTAAGAGGCACAGCCATTTTACAAATAAGAATACAAGAGTCATGGAGCCAGAGAAAGAAATAGAAATAGATCAAGAATGAGCCTGACTCTGTACCCTAGTGGTTAGGTCCTTAATTACAATGGCAAGAACTGCTGTGATAGAAGTTATTATTTGAGAGACACTCCCTGGTTTAGATGAGTTGGGAATTGGGACATGGTCCCTCAGTTAGGTAGTGGCCAGTTAGAGAGAGACAGAGGGTCTGCAGAAGCTGGCCTACTGCATCATGGCTAAGGTGTGGTGTTTTGTTCTTTTCATTTATGTATGCCTAGATTCTGGGTGCTTCTGCTTTTTATCCAGTAACTGTTTAATATGAAATGCATAAATTGTTTGTGGAGCAATGACCAGAACCTTCGGATTCCCCTTTTTGGTGACTGCTTTAACCACTATACCACTACCTCCCTTTGTCTATTGTCCCCCTAGCCCCATGAATCCTGTATCCCTGATACCCAGGGAGCATAAAGCAACTACAGAGAGCACTTGGTTCTTGGACAGCTGACCCGTCTGTTGTACCCTCCAACCATGTTCCTGTTGATAGTGGGAAGATAGCTGATCACAGAGCCTCTTTTAGGGATATTTAGCCTACAGTTTGGGAGAAGTATAAACTCACTTCATAAAGACTCACGTGTAGGATTCCCTGAATTGGAAGACAGCTAAGAAGTTTATAGCAGGAGTAAATCTCTTAACTTGTTCTACATCTCCATATGTATGTATGCATGCATGTATACAAATTGCAGGCATGTATAAAGACATGGGAGTGTGGTTAGCTGTTATTAAAAGTAAAGATTAAATGCAAAAAACTTCTTTTTTTAACTAGTCTCTGATGTGACCCAGAGGCAGCTGACACATTTAATGAATTCTGAGCACGTATTTGCCTGTGAGTAGAATAAAATGATTAATACTTTTTTTTTTTTTTTACTGCAGCTGGACACCTTCCAACTATGGACAAGACTATTTTAGTATTCTTCATTCTGCTGAGCACTGCAGCTGAAAGCAGCCTGGGATGTAATTGTGAGCAATACGCATGGAGTTCTTGGTCCAGGTGTTCAAAAACATGCAATTATGGAATCCAGAGTAGAGACAGGTTGGCGCAGATTACTACGTTGCTTTAATGTATTGATTTTTTTAGAGGTTGTTTTGTTTCAAGTTTTCAGTCAGGAAGAGAATTACTCTGCTATAGAAAGACTTATAAACACCTAAGAGTTTATAGTAAAAAACGGTGCAAAAATTCTTATTTTGCCTTTGGAAATAGCTGCTTCCACTGCTTACTAGGTTATGTGAATGATTCACTAATTACAATATTTATATGACAAATGAATTTTAAAATCTTCTATGAAGCATACAAAACATTGCAATTATTCAATATTAAGAATTAAAGTGGGACATAAAAGTATGTGCATAAGCAGACTTACTAACCTTTCCTGTACATGGGAACATGATTTTAAACATGTTTCCTAAGATCTACAGGAATTTTTGTTTCATGATCTGTTTCTGTCTCTCTTTTTCTCTCTCTCATTTTTTCCTGATTGTAAACTGCTGAAAACTAAAACTGATTTTCAAATCATGTGTCTTTTTACTTTTGGCTCCCCCTGTAAATGTAGCAGAAATGCTGTAATTGCACCATACCTCACTAATGGTAATCTTATTTTTCAGGCAAATAATATATGATACTTACTTTGTAAACAATTTTTGTGGAAAACTTTGCACACTCTCAGAATCTCGGGCATGCAATAAACAGGCATGTCCTATCAACTGCCAGCTTGGAGATTTTGGTCCCTGGTCAAAATGTGATCCATGTGTTAAAAAACAAGTAGGTGGAAAATAAAACTGGTTTGATGGGAGTGGGAAAACAGATATTATGATCCAGGTCATGCGAGGTGGTGTTAATTGTAGTGCAATAAACCAGCCACTGGCCTGCAGGCCATAGAGGGGCCAGCATATGGTCTGCAGGTCCTTGTAGCTGCCTCTCCCATTGCTGTGCTGTCAGAGAACCTGGGAGAAGGCTGCACACCCTTCCCCTTGCAGGGGAAAGGAGAGAAATCCTGGGGGAGGGTGGAGGTGGGGGCTACATGCTGTCATTAGTGCAGACCCCATGACCAGGCTCTATGCACCACCAGGGCTGCCCATGCAGCAGGACTCAGGGGGATCCTGGGTGGCCATGATGCTGCCTGCACAGCTGTGGGGGTGGAATCCCACAGCACATAGCTCACATGGCGTGCCACTCAGGCCACATGCTGATGCTGCATGAGGCCGCCAGCCTCACTGAAGCTGGACAACTGCAATAAACCATTCCTCCATTTGTACATAGTCAGCAAGAACTGGCTGAAAACCACAAAGAATCAAAGAATATTAGAGATGGTTTTCCTAATGAGGGCCTTGTTACATGTTAATTTTAGGTGGCTTCTGGAGCTCTTAACCCCTGGACTGGCTACATGTTAGCACCCTTTAAGTGGCTTAAAGCACTCCTTATTCAGCTTAATGTTATGCCACTCCAGAGCAGGTTTATCTCTAATCTGCCTAACTTTGCTCCTGTTCCATTAACTTGTGGCCACTCTCCACAGCTTTTCTATCCATGCTGAAGTCCTTCAGCATCCCAGGAAGCAATGGGTGAGTGGAGATGCCAGGACACCGCAGGGGCAGGCACAGTGCCTCACTCCCCAGGGAAGTGTGGCAGAGCAAACACCACAGCCCTGGAGTGCCTCACACCACAACTCATACTGGCTCTGCTCCTGGTGGGAGCAGAGCAGAGCAAGCCAGTCCAAACAGGAGGGGGAGAAGGGGGAGGGAGGGAACCACCTCCCCATCACTGCTCAAACCGGAGGGCACCACAGCTGCCAGGTACCCTAGAACTGCAGCACTTGCTCTGCCCAGTGGGCACAGCAAGTCTGTTTTTTCCTTAGCTCCTAGTTCTGCCCCTGCTCACCAAGCCTCTAGTGGTAAGTTACAGTTGTGTAGGTGAGAAGCAGGCAGAGCAAGTTTTTCACGTTACCGTGTGACTGCTCCACGAAGCCAAACAATACTAAGCCAGTTGATATATGTTTAGCTTACAGCATAAAGTCTGATAAGGCCCTTAATGTTGTACTCAAGATTCATCGTGTCAGTGAAATTTTTCCCCAAGAAAGTCAACGTTCTGAAAATTCTACCCAGTTCTGGAGTGCCACTTTTTCCTACAGTACTCAAATCAAAAACCTTCAGCACCAAGAGCCTAGTTCAGGGACCACTTAAATAAATTATTTTCTTCTAATTAACTGAAGTTAGTGTATCACTGTCATTTGAAATGGGGCGGAGTAATGAGGATAATCAATTTTAATATAGCCACGTAAAGTTATGCATCTAGGAACAAGAAGTAACTGATACGTACAGAATGGGAGAGCGTATTCTGAAAATTAGTGACTGAAAGGCATAGAAGGCATATAGGGGATAAGTAACTGAACATGAGCTCCCTGCATGAGGGTGAGACAAAATCAGTTAATATGATACCTTTCCCCCATTTACACATTCAAGTAAGTAGGCTAAGGGAAGTGATACTACCTCTATATATAGCAGGGATGAGATCAATGTTAGAAATGCTCTATAAAATTCCTGTTGTCTTGTCCTCATTTTAAAAACAGTATTTGAAATTGAAGAAAGGGAAGAAAAGAACCAAAAAAAGATGATTTAGGCTTTGTACAAGATGCCCTATCTGATAACCTAACCAGAAAGAATATCGAGAGATGACTTGTGTAAGTTCCTCCACCGGGTAACCTAGCACAGACAGGTATAACAAGAACGAATAGTGGAAAGCTGAAAACATACCAATTCAAATTAGCCAAACAAAGTATGGTCTTAATACATGGCTTATATTTAATGTCTCATGATACACAAGAGATCATGCTTAGATAATCTAATGATCTGGCCTTAAACTCTATGGGTGCATCCAGACGAGCGTGGATCAGCAGGCATTCCCTGCCTCATGATGCTAATTTGCAGGGAAGGGGGGGCAGGCACAGGGGCACGGTTGACATTGGGAAATCCCGGTATCAAAAAAACCCAGGCCTTATAAAGTGGGGTGGCATGTGCTACCAGAAAACAGCCTGGCCAACCAGAGCTATGCCCCAGCTGCCAGACAGGCTCTGTGCTGCTGGATTACCATGGCTGCATCCCATGGAGGCCCCCAGGACCCTAGGTAAGGCTGGGTCCAGCCTCCCCTCCCCTACCCCACCCAGGGCAATGTGCCATGCACCAGAGCGCATGTCCACAGGCATTTCCCAGAGACAAGCAGTAGCGGTACATATTGTGAATTAATGAGCAATAGAACAAATACCTTCCCTTGGTGATTATGAAGATTGTACTCTGATGAGGGGAGGCATGATGTTATGCACTAGAGCAACATATGACATCAGTGCTACTATTAGGTAAAAATGACCCGGCTTATTACATATTTAAGAAAATGTAAGTTGTAAAAGGAACTATTTGGCCATATTGATATGTAATTGCTATAAAAATAAACTTGAACAAGAATAAATCATTCAAATAGTTATATTTAAATAGGAAACAGTTAAGATTATACTGCCTTCTAGCTTAGATTTTAGAGGACAAATAATGGGAACTCTAAACTATGGCTGATAAAGTTCCATCAGAATTAGTGTCAGAATTTAGTATTGAATGCAGCCAATTTGCTATAGCAGCTGTCTATTCTTATGAGATCTCCCTCCTAATTTTGCAGTTTAATGAGAATAATTTTGGGGAAATCATATGACTATGGTGGGGGGAGAGGTCTCATCCACACCAACTAAAACTTCCAGCCTTTTAGAAGTGCATTGCTCAGTAGGAACTAAGGAAAAGGCTATATAAGAGCTATATAGTTTTATTATCTCTAATTTCTAATATATATTGAACATTTTATGTGGATTAGACAGAAAACTATCAAGAAAAAAGAACAATCTTGGGTTTTCTCCTCTGCTTCCTTTCAGTTTCGGAGCAGGTCTCTGCTACGCCCATCTCAGTTTGGGGGACAGCCCTGTTCTGAGCAGTTGGTGGATTCCCGAAGATGCTTCCCAACTAAACTTTGTAACATTGAAGAAGTTGATTGCAGGAACAAATTCCAATGTGAAAATGGTAATCCTGATATTCAATCTACAACCCCTAATTTGAATTACTGTAAAAATTCAAATAATTTTGTAATGCCCCATAAAAAAAATGCCAGGACCTAATTTGGCCCACGTCATAAGCAAAACCAGGTCCTATCATCGCAGTCTTATCTAATTTATTTTAATTAAGTCTGTCTGGCAGTCTTCCATCAGAACTTCAGTGGATGTTATGCATACTTACTCTGGGACAAAACTTGAACAACAAATTCTTTAAAAAACTACCTATTATTAAACAGATAGCTTACACTATTTTTTTTAATACAAAGAGGGTTGTGCAGAAGAAACATCCTCTTTTGCAATTTACTTGATCACTCTGCCTGATACATTTACTCACCATTCAAGACAAGAAGGTATAAACACTAGGTGGTGACATTGCTAAAGACTGAGGCGGGGAAGAAGTCTGGTGTTGAAAGAGAAACAGTTCTTGATAAATTAACCCACCTTTAAATCACAGCAACTGGGAAATGTGATGTTTAATGCAGATCTTTGTAACCATCTTAATGAAGATTCTTGTAGATGCAACACTATGGTCTGGATTTTTCACTCCTATATTAAAAGCTATAGGAAAGGATGGGTCTTATTTAGAAATAACCTAATTCTATCTCACTCACACATTCCCTTAGTCTGAGGCTATGAGCACATATACCATTTCTTCCAGGAGAAAGCTGCTTGTCCCAGGAACCTACAGATATACACGTCCATTGTCTCACTTCAAATATTTGTTCGGTACATGGGATGAAATGTGCTAATTCTTTTTTCCCCAGTACATTGTGGTGTGCCTATAGACTTGTCATGTTTCAGGCACAATCACGTCAGGCTGTGTACTGTCACAGGCCACCTATTGGCAGAGTAGCAGCAATGCATTTTGGAAGACGTATGCGTGTAAATGCCTGTGCTGCTCGTGTTTAGATGCAGGTCAAAACCTGTGACTTTCAGGACTGCCTCAATTGAGATGTCTTTGCAGCCTGAGATAATTCCCAAATGAAATTATTAAAAAAAAAAACAAAAACCCCAGCCAGAGCAGGCCCAGATTTCTGTACTACTCCTGTAGTATCTTTAAAATCAGAAAGAGCAGATCTCCTCGGAAGAGACAACATAACAATGTGGATATTTAGACCAAGTCACTTGGAAGATATGATGATGTAAAAGGGAGAAAAAAAAAAAGGTGGGGGGAAACATGGGCAACTGGTGCCTCCCGAGTCTGGGGGGGGGGGGCACCAGTGGGGCACAAAAGGATGAGGGGTCCCCCAGTGTCCAGCTGGCGACTGGGGGAGGAGTCCCCCAGCGGCCGGTCACCAAGGATGCCGGCAGCGTGGCGGCAGCAGAAGTGACAGCGTTTCCACTACCTGCACTTCTGCCACCAACGTGTTGCCAGAGGAGCCAATTTTTTGAGGGGGACACTACCACTCTCTGTGCCCCCCTACTAGCTAGAGCACCCGCTCAGGGAGGGTACCAGTGCTCTTATGGGGGGCATGTGTCCCCCCCACCATGCGT